GAAGAAGAGCATCTACGGTTGAAGTACTTGGACGAAAGCCAAACTGAGTTGGGTTAAAAAAGTTTTTTGTGCATAGAAATGAGTATAAATGCTTGTAAATCAGCTTCTCGAACACTTTACTAACATTTGATAATTTTTTTAAGATATGATTATTTATTGCACGGTAGATATTTGTATTATACTAATTTTAACGTTGGTATTGAGTAAAAGTTAAATATCAAAAATGTATGATAGCTCTATAATATACACTCCCTAATATAGTAACTCAGTGTTTTTCTTCAACTTAGTTTATCTTTCTTATATACTTCTTTCCGATAACTTAAGATGTAGTATGAATGAGAATAAAATTTGACTATTCATTTATTCTAAGTAGAACGATAATTTGTTAAGCCGACACTGATAGAACGAAAGTAAATTTCATTATGTGGATGAAGACGTGGTGAAGATAAGAAATGCAAATGGAGTATAGTTTGATAAGTCGCGTACGTTGTTGTAGTACATTAGTGTATTACTAAATAATACTAATTTGCACGATGTATGCTCAGAAGATGTGCTCCTGTAAGCCAGATTCTCTTAAAATTTGAACGTGAATGGACAGGTAATATAATTGCCACCCTTTAGCTGACAATGAAATTTCAAATCAAGCTGCAGCTTCATCAACTGCTTATGCATTAACTTCATCCTCAGCAGTCACAGAACCTGCTTTAAATACTGTCCCGAATCAAATAACAAATTTTCGTCAGCATTGTGAAAGTGACAACGAAATTCAATTTCATGATCAGAATCTGTTTTCACAGCGTAGTACGACAGTCCCTGCTAATATGGAACAAGATTTTCACTTAATTGGTATTCATGTATAGACATAAAGTTCTTGCTATTTTTTTTAGCATCATTTATACTATTTAGATCTACATCGATGTGTAAAGTATATGCAGCTATTCTCTTTTCGTTCTTTCGTTCATCCCGACAATACACAAAAGAAAGAGAATCAGAGAAGAAAAGACATATGCAGAAATATGCCAAGAAAAAATGGGAGAATAGAATAAAAAGCGACTCGTTCCACAACGACACTCACAAATGTCAAAGTCAAGTCAAATGTTTCGTCCTTCAATGACTACGGTTATTCCTGCGTCTGGTGTATCACCTTCCACTGCGAAACCAAAAGAGATTATGGTTAACTTGAGCGATCCATCTCTTAATTCAGTACTAATCTCAGGTTAGCAACACCTCAAGAAAAAAATCTATATGTTGCTATGCTTTACCTTTTTATGATGGTTCTCATGCAGAAAAGAGGTTTTTAGTTATGTTAGTGAAGAGGCGATGAGAATGACTGACGAAGAAATGTACAAGGTTTATACTGATGTTTTTTCAAAATGTTTTCTTCATACAGGCACGGTTCATGATGATTCAAACCAGCTAGAAATTAGAAAAGTATGTTCACAAGCAAACGATAGAACGAGAATATTTACTCTGCAAAAGAAAGGTTCTACAGTTTATTACATTATTATTAACCAAGAAGCGACTAACATAGGATACTTATTTCTTCATTAGGTAGCTCTTCGGGAATTTTATAAAAAACCGATACTAATGTATTTGTGAATGATTTTAATCGCTCAAGCGACCTCATCTCCGGACTAATGGAAGAGATGCTAGGAGTATGTACACATACTCTTTGTAACTTTTGGAATAACTGCTCTTATTTTTATTTGATTCAGCGATGTTGGACAGACTTCGATTCGATTGCCGGTTACATTTCCGTGGTTTGCAGAATCTCGGCAACACTTGCTATGTGAATTCAGCGATACAGTTCTTAGCTAATACTTTGAGCTTGACAATTTTATGGCCAAACGCTACTAGTGGAATTACTTACAGTAAGCAATTGAAAGTTTTGGTTAGGATGAATATATGCTACGTCTAAATTACGTGTTAGCACTGATTAGAGGTTACTTCCAAGAGAAGTTAGAAGAACAAAAAACGAGTTTTCAATTCGAAATTTGGTAACTATCTCCTATTATCCTTTTCTGAAAATGAGGCCACCGGGCAGAATGCTTATCCCATTTGAACGAAAAGTGATAGAGACATGCAGTTTTCACTGTTGGATAGATTTTTTGATCAACGTGGTTGGTTATCTATGATCCACATGTTTCATATTCCCATACGTGTCTGGAATGAGATAGCTGTGTCCTCGTGTGTATCTCCAGAATCAAAGAAGATGAAGACCTGGGCGTTGCGTAGTTTTGAAGAGAAATGTTTCGGCTATCGATTGGTATTATTTGAGATTGGATGTCATAGTGTGATTTTGGATCGGTAAGCCATCGGATTTTGTCTCGGTAGTACACCATGGTCATCCTGATAGAGAGTCCTGATTTTTTCATAGACTTACGTTCCCCGATATTCTCTATTCAACGGTGAAAACTGCATGTCTCTATCGCTGCTTATCATGATAAGCAGCGATAGAGACATGCAGTTTTCACCGTTTGGCCGTTTACTGAACTTGGAATCGAGTGGCTCCGGATAATACCACCATCGCCATCCTCATCGTTTTCTACGCTCAGGTCGGTATTTTGACGTCAATCGGATGAAAAGTCATTAAGTTGTCGAAAAAGGATTTTGCCACTCGATTCCAAGTTCAGTAAACGGCCGATAACTTTCAAAAGAAAATTTTTCTCAAAAATCGGCACGCATAACTTTGTAGAGAATTTCATGGCGCGTCGAATGACGTCAAGCTTTTTGCTCTGCGACCTTCCCTTCGGGACTTGATTGGTTTTTGAGAGATTTTTCGTTGGTTGGGTTTTGGATTTTGGCTAAAATCTAGTTTTAAGTATAAAACACTAAAAAGTACTTCATTCGATGCAGTTTTGGCTGCTGAATCAGAATATCGAAACCGCACCTCTCTATGACGTTGTAGTGAGAAGTTATTGAATAAATACGGCTAAACTACCGTTTTCGAGGTCTCCAGTCGCTCGCAGTCTTTCGGCTTTTTCACCTCGAAAGCAACTTCGAAAAACGATCGGGGCCACATATTCGTGATCAGCGCACTTTTCTCTATCGAATGATGTATAAAAGAACCAAATCTAAAAAGCTTCGGAACCTTGTCTTAGCAGCATCTTACTTCTCTTAGTACAAAAAAAATTAAAAAATCAAAAAATCAACTTTTCAAAAGAAATTTGGTAAGCTTTTCCTTTCCTTTTCGTTATTTTTCCGCTTTAACTCTCTTCTTCTTCGATTTATTATTAATTGTCAGACACCGTCATATTGTTATTTCGAGGAATTATCAATCACAGTGCTCCAATAAATCAAACCATTTTTCCATGGACGAACCCAAGGAGAAAAAAAATATCGACTATCGGGCGATCTAGCTAGCTAACTCAATATACTACCCGATATACCTAGCTAGCAATTCGAATTGGGTTATTTACTATCGGGCGATATAGCTAGCTAACA